TAATCAAAAATGTATCTTATTTGTGTGTCACTCGGCTGTAGATCCTCAAATCAACTCTAATTTTGTGCTGACACTGTCCTTCCTTCTGGAGGGTGGCTACTTTTGTTCCCCATGGTCCTTGTGTGTGTTGTAAAGTAGTCACCACTCCAAGCTCACTCCCGTGATGGACTACAATCTAAATTCAAATTAGTAAACTAAATGTGAGATTGTAATCCATCACGGGAGCGAGCTTTGCCGGTGACTACTTCACAACACAAACAGGGACCATGGGGAACAAAAGTAGCCACTCTCCAGAAGGAAGGACAGTGACACCACCTATTCAGAGATGATTTGAGGATCTACAGCCGAGGGTTACACAAATAAGATACATTTTTGTTAATAGTTAAGATACGTAAATGCATTTTTAAACTCCCAAGTTTACTGTTACTTTAGGGTCCATTCACACCAATGGCAGCGCTCACAAAACTTCCGCCTTCGTTCTGGGGCATTTAAGTCAATGGCACCACAGCCATGCCCCGGCCGCAGTGTGATCAGACGCATGGCAAAACATTGCCTGCATTCTGATCCACTGCAATTGCAAAAAATGGTCCACCCCCCCCCCCCCCCCCCCCCACCCCAGAACAAAGGGGGAAGTTTTTTGAGCGATTGCTGTGTGTTCCAACAGCTGCTGCTCTGGAACGCACCACAATTGGTGTGAATGGGCCCTTAAGGCCAACATTTCTATCCCCTTCAAACCCATTGGTACCTACAATGCTTGTGCCAACCTGCTTTTTGTATTCCGTTTACCTTCGCAGCAGTAAAGAAAACAGGGACTGTACATGGCATTCGCAAGCATGGGAATCTTTATTTTACATATTACTGGGAAGAGATAACACACAAAAAAAAAAATATGTATGTTACATGTGCCATTTATTGTACCAGTCAATCATTATTTCACAGGCAGCAATTTGATTCAAATAAATATTTAACATACACAAAATAAAATAATCAAACATTTATAACACAATCCAGCTGTGTTTCACATTTATCCCATTCTGTTTGAACACACGATGGCCATACAGGAACATATTTACAAACTGTATTTCTTGTAAAAGGATTTCTATTTTCTTTGCTAAATAAGGACTTATGTGCCACAGACTTCAAAAATGGAATAATCTTTATTACAGCTTTGTTGTGTAAAATGACTAAGCCCTTCTGATAGCCTGAGTAGTATATTATTATTTGAGATATCTTTGTTCAAGCTGCAGGAGATTAGGCAATATAGGTCTGATATCATAATCCCCTTTTCTGGATAAAAATCATTCAATTGTATTTCCGCTTTTCCAGCAAAATAAAAAAATATTTGAGGGGAATTTATCAAAACTGGAGCAGACAAAATCTGGAGCAGTTGTCCATAGTAACCAATCAGCTTCTCTCACCAGTTTGGTCAGTTAAGATTTGAAAATGAAAGAGAGAAGCTAATTGGTTGACATGCACATCTGCTCCAGATTGTGTCTGCTCCAGTTCTGATAAATTCCCCTCTATGCATGTTATGTATTCCCATTCGCACAAAATAATGATAATAAAAATGCCTTTTTAGCTGCTTCTTTGGAGCAGGATTATACATAGGACTCTACAAGCAGCTTCTAGTGGCTAGAATAGATGCCTGGGAGGGAGTTGGTAAGGGACAGTGAGGACTATGAAGGATTTTTCACTTCTGGAATTTGCAGAAATGTCACGGAAACAAGGTAATCTACAATTTGTACAAATTTCGTTTTTGTTCTGCTAAGTGAATGTGAACATGTAACAAATGTAAAGTAGTTGTTATCCCAATTTGTCTGCAAAAATGCAAGTCCCATGTACAGTTTGTGGATATTCCAGCCAGGTCGGTATACTGCATTGCAGTTACTCTGTCTATGCATAGGCAAGGTTACTTGCTAAACATGCGCTACTGTTGGAACCTGGGGACAGGTTTAAGAAATACAGATACTGAAAGACTAGAATGATAGATGAAGGCACGTGATGAGCACAACTGTCGTTGTCATTGTAGCTTTTACACTGTCATTGTAGCTTTTTAGAACCTTTGGCTCAAATGTTTCCAGTCAGAGCATCAGCATGAAACTCAGACCCACAAGTATCACAGAAGCATTGTGCCAGAGGGAGCACATATCAGATACCATGTAATGGAAGCCTCTTCTTTTTTTTCAGGGTGGGCATCAGGAGAAAAAAAACCTGTTTCCTGGGTTTGGGTTTAGGTCCACTTTATCATACAGTACTTTCTTGTAAGGTAGCATTTTACATCTTGTTTAAAAAAAGAAAATCTTTTCATTTTGGAAGGCTTGCCAGACAAATAAATGTGAATTTATGTGATCATGGAATGACAAGGTTTTACTAATTCTCTGTATTTTTCAGAGTGCGCTATTACAGCCCGTGTTTGAAGTGACAACATTGACAAAAGATAATAAATTGCATCTATCTGCTCAAAACTATATAGGTCATTGCTGCACTTTCAAAAATTACTAGTCTACCGAGGACCTGAGACAATACCACAACATCATAAGGTGCCTCACAGTGTATTCTTACTTACTGGATGGATTTCACCTTCATGTTACACCCCGACACATGGTCCAAAAAGTAAACTTAGACCTTAAAGTGACATTAAACCCTCAGATTTTTTAACATAAACCAATACTGTAATGTGTGCCTTACTGTAATCCATGGTTGTTTCCCTTCTCTTTGCTGCTCTTCCTTTTAAATCCTCATGTCTTCTCATGCTCTGCAGAACTTCCCTTTTCAGCTCAGGGCCTCTTCCTGTAGTGCTGACTTAGGTTTCAAGCCTATACAAACTAATACACAGACACCGTGTATCCATTCCTGAGACAAGGCAGTCTGCTGCAAAACAGAAGTTCTGCAGAGCATGAGAACCGATACAGATTTAAAAGGAAGAGCAGCAAAGAGAAGGGAAACAACTATGGATTACAGTAAGGCACACATTACAGTACTGTTTTATGTTAAAAAATCTGAGGGTTTAATGTCACTTTAAAT